CTAAACTGCTACCACTTCAACAGATGAAGAAGCAGAAGCCCAAAGAGGTGAAGCAGGTTGGCCCAGGGCACACAAATCTTGCATCTTATCTTCTCTGTCTACAGACTCTCCAGTAAATCCTTTTAGAGTACTGGAGTCCTCGTGTGGTGCTTTAGGATAATGCACTGGACCACAAGGTTGGTTTGAATTGCAAGATTGGAGGCTCAGGCCACCAGCCACTCCTCAGAAACTCTACACAACAACAACGACAAGTATAATAATAAATAATGCAATTCCCTGCTTATTGAAAGGCTGTATGTTTTGTTTTTGTTGTTAAGTGCCATCGAGCGGGTTCAATTCATAGTAAACCTGTGTAAGGTTTCCCAGGAGCAGCTGGTAGGTTTGAGATGCCAATCTTGTGGTTAGCAGTCCAATACTTATCCTACAGCACCACACCAAGACTCCATGCTATGTGCATTAGATGTAACACTTCATTTAATCCTCAAAACTAACTCATCACCAGATATTCTTACTATGGCCCATTAGATCACTGAAGAAATAGAGGCTTCAAGGATTGAAGTACCTTGACCAATTTCACAGTAAATGGCAGATCTAGGACTTGAATTGAGTGTGTAAAGGTAAGCGTGAGACTTGACTGCTACAGACGGTCCCCTCCCTGATACTCCCAGTCCTGTAAATCACGCAGTACCCCTAGCACACTGCCTTGCACACAGCAAGCCATCCACAGTAATTGGTTCATCCTTCTCCCTGTTTTCTTGACCACCTCTTTACTGATAAGGAAACGGGGACCCAGACACATTGATATGCAGTGCCTCAAATGATATACTTCGTGAGTGAACTGGTACTTAACTGCAGATGTTGACATCTGGCCCGTTCATTCTTTTGTTCAGTAACACATACACATACCCCTATGTGTCAGGTCCTGCTACAGATAAAGGGGATACAGTGAAACAGAAAGTTAGCTCTCTCAGTCTGCTCTCCAATCCAGATTTAATTTCCTTTCTGAGTAGTTTGCTTTATATCTCTGGACTGAGGACCATTTTCCTTGATGGAGAAAACAGACAAGCCAAGAGTTGAAAATTCCGCCTTTCCTTGTCCTGTAACTGATACTACCTGTCACAGCCCAGGCCTAGCCTCACCTCTCTTGGTTGTCAAAACCAGAAGCAGCAGCTCAGAGTCACTGTTTACAGTTCTTGTTACTTTTCAGATTCAGACTCTTTGCTGAGTCACAGTCCTACACAGACTTTTATCCTGTTATATGGCCCCTTTTCAACCATTCTTATGTCTGATCATCAGAGGGTTCCCTGTGCACCGGCACTGATTTGACACTGTTGTTGTTAAGTGCCGTTGAGTCAGTTATGACTCATAGTGACCCTATATAGGGTTTCCAAGGAGTGGCTTGTGAGCTTGAACCACTGACCTTGTGGTTCAAACCAACCTTGCAGTCCAGAGCATTAAACCACAGTGCTATACCAGAGTTCCTATACTCCTGTAGATCTGACACTATACTCAACAAACACAGGTTGAACAGAATTACTCAAACTGAATTTTCTTTTTCAATGGACTAATTTGCAATTTATAGCTTTCAC